CGTGTGAATACTTAGACCACAATATGTCCCTGGTGAGCCTCTAGTTGACTAGCTCGTTGTGATCAACAGATAGTCATGGTTTCCTGACTATGGACATTGGATGTCGTTGATAACGGGATCACATCATTAGGAGAATGATGTGATGGACAAGACCCAATCCTAAGCATAGCATAAAAGATCGTGTAGTTCGTTTTGCTAGAGCTTTGCCAATGTCAAGTATCTCTTCCTTCGACCATGAGATCGTGTAACTCCCGGATACCGTAAGAGTGCCTTGGGTGTATCAAACGTCACAACGTAACTGGGTGACTATAAAGGTGCATTACAGGTATCTTCGAAAGTATCTGTTGGGTTGACACGGATCGAGACTGAGATTTGTCACTCCGTATGACGGAGAGGTATCTCTGGGCCCACTCGGTAATGCATCATCATAATGAGCTCAATGTGACCAAGGTGTTGGACACGGGATCATGCATTACGGTACGAGTAAAGTGACTTGCCGGTAACGAGACTGAACAAGGTATTGGGATACCGACGATCGAGTCTCGGGCAAGTAACGTACCGATTGACAAATGGAATTGTATACAGGGTTTGATCGAATCCTCGACATCGTGGTTCATCCGATGACAACATCGAGGAGCATGTGGGAGCCATCATGGGTATCCAGATCCCGCTGTTGGTTATTGACCTGAGAGCGTCTCGATCATGTCTGCATGTCTCCCGAACCCGTAGGGTCTACACACTTAAGGTTCGGTGACGCTAGGGTTATTAGGAAGACTAGTATGTGACTACCGAATGTTGTTCGGAGTCTCGGATGGGATCCCGGACGTCACGAGGAGCTCCGAAAGGGTCCGGAGGTAAAGATTTATATATGGGAAGTTGTCAAACGGGCACCGGGAAGTTTCGGGGTCATACCGGTATTGTACCGGGGCCACCAGAAGGGTTCCGGGGGTCCACCGGGAGGGGCCACCCCTCCCGGGGGACCACATGGGCTGCGTGGGGCAGGGAGCCAGCCCCTGGTGGGCTGGTCGCACCCCCTCCCTTGGGCCCTTGCGCCTAGGGTTGAGGGGGGAACCCTAGAGGGGGCGCCCCCCTTGGCTTGGGGGGCAAGCCACCCTCTCCCCCTCTCCCCTTGGCCGCCGCCCCCCTCTAGATGGGATCTAGAGGGGCCGGCCCCCTTCTCCCTTCCCCCTATAAATAGAGGGGTGAGGGGAGGGCAGCCGCACCACCCTCCAAGGCGCAGCCCTCCCCTCCCCAACACCTCTCCTCCTCCGTTGTGTGCTCGGCGAAGCCCTGTCGGAGTACTGCATCTCCACCATCACCACGCCGTCGTGCTGCCGGTGGAGCTGTCTTCCTCAACCTCTCCTTCCCCCTTGCTGGATCAAGAAGGAGGAGACGTCTCCCGTCCCGTACGTGTGTTGAACGCGGAGGTGCTGTCCGTTCAGCACTTGGTCATCGGTGATTCGAATCACGTCGAGTACGACTCCATCATCACCTTGCAAGCTTCCGCACGCGATCTACAAGTGGTATGTAGATGCAAACTCACTCCCTCGACTCGTTGCTTAGATGAACTCATAGATGGATCTTGGTGAAACCGTAGGAAAAATTTTAATTTTCTGCAACGTTCCCCAACAAGTGGGACCGCGGCGGACACCAACGTGAAGCGCGGCGCATCCGCGCCGACGCATTTCAGCCGCAATTTTGGGCCGGAAATGGATCGGCGTGTTTGGCCGGTGTTTTTGTCCGCGCCAACCCAAATAAACATGGGCGGACGAAATGGGTCGCCTCTTTGGAGTTGCTCTAAGAGTGTACAACTTTGTACTCTTTTTCTTTTGTAATTTTCTTATCATTTCGTAATTGTATTTTCCCTTTGTAATCTAGAGTGTGGCTTTGTACTTCTTTTCCTGCCCAAGTATGAAGTGTCTTAACAAGGTAGGTACTAATAAAGCTAAAAAATGATCCCATATGGCACTTTGCCTCTTTTTTTAAGTACTTTTTGAATTTATCAAAAATTTATGAATATTTAAAGTAATTGGGCCAAAAAAGCCCACGGTCCTTATGGGGCGTGGGTCAGACCTTTTAATTAATGTGTCGTGCCTGGGCCGTAAGATGAGGCGCGCGTGATGGCATGACGCAACCCGCTTATAAATGGGTTTCCGTGTGCCGCGCCATGCTAGACCCGTTTACAGGTGGGTCGTGCCCGGGCCAGGCCGGCCCGTTAGCCAGGTTTGGTCATGGATAAACAAACCTCTTATATGCATGCCTGGGAATGATCCTAGGAGGAAATTCCTTCTACTTGGGAGTGCTCCTATTCACCGACTTGTGCGGTTGGAAACGAGCAAACGCACACCCGCCAACACACTTTGGGTCGCGGGTGCCCCCATTTTTTCGCATTGAGTTTTTTGTTCTCTATTCGCTTTTTTAAAAATAGTATTGAATTTCTGAAAATGTTCACAAATCCAGGATTTTTTTCCTTTTTTGAAAAATAATTTTTTGTAAATTTAAAAATGCTCGTGAAATAAAAATGTTTACAAATAAAAGAAATCAATTTCACAAAAAAATGTATATTAAATAAAATTAGAAATTTTTCATGAGTTTCAGAAATATACACAGCTTTCGAAAATGCCTGAGAACTCCAAAAATATTCATGCAGCTCAAAAAATGTTCACTAATTTCAAAAATTGTTTGGAAGTTTGAAAAATACTCACGAATTTTTAAAAAAGTGTTTGTGGAATAAAATATTTTCATGAATTGAAAAAATGTTCATGAAACTCATAAAATCTTTGACAGTTTGAAAAATGTTCACGACTTTGGAAACCATATTCGTGAGTTTGGAAAAATGTTCATGAATTCAGAAAATAATTTCCAATTTTTAAAAAGTTCAGGAATGTAAATTTTTTTCACATATTAAGCAGTCACATAATTACAAAGAACAGTCAGCACTTACACAAAGAAAATCCAATGATAAAAAATCTGACTAAGCAACAACAAAATAACAAGATGAAACATTCGCACATGCGGGAAAATTATGTGGGGCACAATAATGAGAGAATTCCTTATTTGGCCCTTTCTTAAATTTTACTTCCTTTTTGGCCCAAAAAACTATTTTCTCCCCTTTTAACACTTGAACTTTATTTTGCTCCCTATGTGACACTTCCGTCAGATTTGGCTAGTAACGGCCCAAAAAACAGATTTGACCCCAAATATTCATTCGATAATGTTCCAGGCCCATGGGAAAGATATGTAGGGTGCAAACGTGCACACCGACTGGTTGATACCGTTAAATATATAAATGGGCCAAGCCGACTTCACTTTTTTTTTGGGGGGGGGGGGCATAGGCCCCCTAGTATATAAATGGGCCAAGCCCAATAATTCTAACTAAACTATTCATTCATGGTTGATAGATTTAAATATCTATCAACAGAGTTATCGTTTGTACAATTTAATTGTGATTGATACCTTCAGACTAGAGGTGCGCTTCCACGTCGAGCAAGGCTTCTTGCTGACACAGCGAGCAGGAGGACATCGAGCCGACAGAGTAGCTGTCAGTGTGGGAATCACCTGCTCTGTGTAGGGGTCATTTTTGTTTTGGCTTTTCCAGACCGTTGGTTGTGCTGGTCACAAACTGTGGTCCTCGACTCGGCTGGGCCGATAAGAAAAAGAAGAGGGAGATGACCGGCCGAGTTGGGTTGGGTAGGGATGGGCTGGGCTGCGGCGCTTGGTGTTTTGATTAATAATTATGAAAATTGAGCAGAGTACATAAAGGCGTACAACGTATATGTATATATTATAAGAAAGAAAAGAAGAAAAGAAAGAAAGAGGTGTGTTTTAGAGGCAAGAAAGGAGAAAATTGGAAATGTGCATAAAACCCAAATAGGCAGGCAAAGAAGAGCTAGATAGCTATTTACTACTCCCTCGGTCTCACAATATAAGATGTTTTTGCAAGGTAAAGTTTTCAAGCTATTTTAGCTTACAAAGAATGTTTTATATTGTAAGACAGAGGAAGTATTTGGTTGTATGCATGCAAATTAATTGGTTGTAGGAATGCCCTCAAAGTAGGCAGGCGGGCGGGCATTAGGAAGACATAGTACTTAGCACGTACTTATGCGGTTGGGTTGGGATCCCACACGGCCACACCACACGCACGCAGTTTTACTACAGTACTACTCCCCCCGTCTCATAATATAAGAGTGTTTTTGACACTAGTGTAATGTAAAAAATGCTCTTATATTATGAGACGGAGGTAGTATATAGTAATCCCTATGCATAAATATTGATTATATCCTCCCCATTTGCTTGCCGGAGAGAGTTTTCACATGCACTTCTGGTCTCTACAAATTCACTTGCCATTAATGCATAATTTTTGGTTTCCATCGACTGAGGTCGAGGCATCCATCGACCATGGCAAGGGCATCAACTCGAGGATCAAAGAAAATTTTCAAAATGTCGTGAGCCAGGCTAGGCTTGCAAGCTCAGTCTTCCTTGTACTAAATATATTGTGCTTGAAAAACATTATGATGGGCCAAGGAGTGTGCCTTAGGGCTCGAGTGTGGGAAGTTAAACCACTAGAAGTGTGTTTGGGACGTCGATCCTGGGAAGCTACCGAGGTTTATAGTATGACACCGCCGGATACAAGTGAAATAAAATATCAAATCCATTGAGGCACACACAACCATTGCAAAACGTATCAGATGCCCAAAGGTTAAGATGTATGATATGAAAGATCTTATTAGCAGTTTATGTATCGGGTAGGAGACAGGGGGTACCGCTGCTTAATGCTTGAACTCACATGACAACTCCACCTAGAAAGAAGAAGTTGACAAGTGACATCCCTTTCTGAGATCTCAAACTATACTTATTCAACAACCCCATCTTGGTCGCTAATAAGCTGAAAGTGTATTCATTGAAGATTCTTCATGTCAAATGCCCAACCCATATATCATCGGATTACACACATTACTGGTACCAACCGATCTTTTGTTTCGAGATAATGTACCAATCAATCATGCATGGTGATCGAGGGCGTCTAGGTGCAGGCCCGGCGGGGCAGGTGGCTTGGGCTTGGGCTTGGGTTTGGGCTTGGGCTTGGGCTTGGGCGAGGGCATCATGCCGCAGCGGAGCATGCAGCCAAGGGTCTTGAGGTCGCAGTTGGTGATGCAGAGCGGCAGGGCGGGGCACGCGACCACGCAGGGAATCATGCACTTGAATGCGCAGAACATCACCATCGTGAAGCACCCCATCATGCACTGCATCTTCCCATCCAGCTCCATTGTTGTTGGGCGCTCCATCATCGTCTTTACCGCCACCGCGGCGTGAGCATGAACGGCAAGGACGTCGGCGAGGCCAGCCAGGGCGACCAGGGCGATGAGGAGGGCAGCGGAGCTGGTGCTGGTAGCCATGCTCGCTGGCCCGTGTGTTGTGGTTTGTGTAGTAGTGAGCTCTTCACTCGTAAGATAGTTTATATAGGGCTGGGTTTAGCGTGTCAAACCCTACTTGCATTTTGTGTGTGTTCGTTCTATTGTTGCTTTTCCACACACTCGCACACACACACGGCATGGTGATGATTAACGTATAATATATGGATGCATGAAATATGTGTGAACCAAGAAATTTAATATGTAACAAATAACGGTTCATTCGCTGGACAATACTAGTGCATCTTTCTTATTTCACCATACTAATTGGAGAAGGCATCATTGAAGCCTCTACGTTAATTCTCATCATCTTCAAAATATGTCCGTCCGCTTACCCTAAGATCAGTCCGCAACCGTGGGATGACGTATAGTGATGTGCCTCGGTCTCTCGATCCTCTGGAGCATATGCCTCTTAGGGAGAAGAAGGCATAGAGGTTGGTTTGGATAAGATTCGGGGAGATACGAGTTCGAAATGAGCGGACCGTTAGGCTCTCTTCCTGGCGACGGACCGGGCTCCCCGCCGCGGTCGCCTTTGGCTCCGGCCTCCGAGGGCTGGGAGGTGGTCCGGCGCGGCGCTAGCTCATCCCCGCCGAGGCCGGGGCCGGTCATGGGGGTTGGCGCGGCGCGGGCTCCAGTGGGTGGCCGCTTCTGGGCGCTGGCCGAGTTCGGTTCGGAGGACGAGGAGGGCGAGGATTCGGAGGTGGAGGCCAGGATGTTGGTGCCGGCGAGGCCGTCGTTAGGTGATTTCGTGGCTCGTGCGCACGCGGAGGGGAGCGGTGCCGCGCGGGCGCGCCGCCGGTTCGCTCCGGGCGGCAGGGGATCGCGCGCGGTCGCCGTCCGTGCTTGGAGACCTTCTCTGACTCCGGGCAGGGGCTCGGTGTCTCCTGGGGGTGCCGCGCAGGGCATTCGGGAGAGGGCGGCGGCTGCTCTTCTGGCTCCGGTGGATTCAGAGGAGGAGTGGCCGGGCCTGCCGGAGGCGGCGGCGGTCGGCAGGGTGCTGACGGCGGCGGCGGCTGAGCCGCGGGCGGCGGCGGGTGGATCTGTTTCCCGTGTGGCTAGGGTTGCCGACTCTGGGCCCGGGGCCGTCGTGGGCCAGGCGGTTCGTGGGCCGGCCCACTCGCCAAGGCCGGCGGGGGTCAGCGTTGGCCCAAGGCCCGGGGGGGACAGTGCCACCTACTGGGCGAGGGGGGCTGGCTCCTACAGGGCCTGTGGGTTCTGTTCGACCTGCTTCGGGCCTGCCAAGGCCACGGCCCAGCTCTGGCGCCTATATATGGCTGCGCCGCGGATGCCGCGACCCCTCGCTAGGGTTTCCCGCATCCAGATCTGAGGTGCGGCGCTGGGCTCACCTTGCTCGTTCCATTCATCCCGTCTCCCCTCCTCCTCCTCTATCCATTTCGTTTGCGGCGGTGGTGATGAGCGGGAGGCGAGCGAGAAGCGGCCAATGGAGCCGCCGGTCTCGGATGGGGAGCGACGGCGTGAGCGCGACCTGCGGGATAAGGCGAAGAAGGAGATGCGTTCAAGGCCGAGCGGAAGAGCCGAGCGGAGTCTCGAGCAAGAGGGGCGCGAGGGGGGTTGGGGTCCCCCTCCCCCGTGGTGGATCCAGCAGCAGGAGCGCAGGAAGAAGAAGAAGGAGTTGGCTCGACGCAGGGAGCTCGAGCGCAAGTCAGCGGATCTCCCCAACTATGGTGGTGGCCATGGGGATCCTCTGGCCAAGAAGCCCAGGGCGGCGACCGAACCTCTGGCGGTGGCGCCTCCCCCGGGAGCGAAGGGCACAGCGGGCGAGCCCATTCCGGTGGAGGACGCGTTGGAGGCGCCGGATGTGGAGTGCTTCAAGTGCGGAAGACTAGGTCACTATCAGTCCAAGTGCAAGTTCCAGCCCCTATGTATGTTATGCAAGGAAGAAGGGCATGCATCTGAGCACTGTCCGACGAGGGGTCGGCAGCCTTGCTTGCAGATCATGGGAAGCGCTATCTCTGGGGAAGGCTTCTTCTGCCTACAGTTCGAAGAGGAGGCGGAGCTCGAGGGCCCTCGACTACTCTCGGTCGGCAATGCTGCGATTCTATCTGCTGAGCTGGGCCGCCTGAACCTGCGGGTCCTCAAGCAGGAGCTCAAGCACATGGTCACGGGGGACTGGGACTGGCAAGTCACCCAAGTGGGAGAAGATGATTTCATGGTGGTTTTCCCCTCTGCAGATCTCCTTCATATGGCCCGGACTAGTGGCAAGTTGTTCCTTTCCATCAACGACATCACTGCTAGGGTGCGTGACGTGGTTCATGAGGTGATTCCCCCTTTGGTTATGCCAGAAGCTTGGGTGCGGCTCCACGGGATCCCGGAGAAACATCGCAAGATCGAGCGCATCAAGGAGGCGTTCAAGATATTAGGGTGGCCTATCATGGTTGATGAGCTCTCCATCATTAAACTGGGCCCGGTGAGGATGAAGCTGGCCTGCAAGACCCCGGCCAAGCTGAACGGCACAGTGGAGGTCTGGTTCAACCACGAAGGGTACCAGATCAGGGTTGAGCTGGAGCAGCTACCGCGTAGGCTGGGGGATGGCGGAGGGGCTCCGGGGGCGGGCCCCTCCGCTCCCCCGCCTGACAGTCATCACGGCAAGGGCGGGACCCACAAGTCTGGACCTCAAGCGAGCAATTCCTCCAAGGTGGCTGCCAATGGTGTGAGTGTGCCCAGAGCTACGGCGGTGGTGCCACAGAAGGGAGCGGCTATCTCTGGTGAGTTGGTGGTTGGTCAGGATACGATGATGGGCGAGCTGGCAGACGAGCAGGAAGACAGCATTCAAGACACGTCTATTGATACTGAGACTTGGGAGAAGCTGGGGTGATCGTGACTCAAGACACGGCCGTAAGCCTCCCCCCCCTTGCTCGCTCCCTGGACCCGTCCTTCGAAGGGCTTGGGAATGAGCCAGTGTCTCTGCCGCTGGTGGCCATGGAGACTGCGGCCGTGCCTGCCTCCTCAGAGCGCGGCGGGGGTGCGGGGTTGGACTGCGTCCTCATGGACTCGGTCCCCACACCGGCCTCGGACCGGCGTTTGTCGAGCGGTTCCGGTCGCCAGGCCAAGAAGACTGCCGGGCGGAAGGCTGGGAGCAAGTCGGCGGACACGGCTGCAGTGGGGTCGGTGGCGGCGCTGGGAGGTGAACTGGGGGCGGCGTTGGTGGCTGCGGGGCCGGCAGCCAAGGCCAAGCGTACAAGGGCAACCCCGGTGGCGGCTCGGGCTCCAAGCGCACACGCCAAGGCCAAGCTCGGGGACATGACTTCTCTGGAAAGTGCCAAGCTCCGTGCTGCTGACAAAAACGTGGATGTTGCAGGTAACCTTCCCCCCTCCTTTAAGATTCTGAATGCTTTCTCCGATGAGCATCTTGCCGAGATTCTTCACGATAGCGGCGTTGCTCTAGATTCTTCGAATTTGGACATTATTTCGTTAGTGCGCGCGCGTGAAGAAGCCCAGGCCGCCCTCGCGGCTGCTGCTGCCAGGGAAGTGGCGGTTCAGTCCGTGGTCGGCGAGTCTTCAGCACCAGTAGGGGTTGGTGTTGCCGATCTGCCCATCGAGGGAGACGAGGCCAGGGTGGCCTCGGACTTGCCCTCTTCCAGCCGGGCACCGGCTAGGAAACGTGTGGCCAAGGCGGTGAGCTCCCGTGGAGTTCGCCTGCGTAACCGGATCATTTGATGCGATACATTTTCTGGAACATACGTGGTTGCGGACATGTGGGGCGTCGCACGCAGTTACGTGAGTACATGTCTAAAGAACGCATCGACTTTGTCGCGCTCCAAGAGACGATTAAGGCCGATTTTTCTTTTAGAGATCTTTTGGCGTACGATCCTCTTCAGCGTTTTGAGTGGTTTTGGTCTCCTTCCGTGGGCCTTTCTGGTGGCCAACTGATGGGTTGTAATAAAGACGCTTGCGAAGTTATTCTGTGGGAATCTGGTGAGTTTCATATCGCTGCCACTGTGCGTCATCGGGTTTCCCTTGCCTCTTGGGTGATCGTAAGTGTTTATGGGCCGGCTAATCATGCGAGGTCCGTTGAGTTCCTGGGTGAACTCACAGCGCTGGTTGGGGCCAAACAAGCGTCCAACTTACCAGTTTTGGTGGGTGGAGATTTTAACTTGATTCGCTCGGGGGCGGACAAGAACAACGACAACATTAACTGGGCAAGGGTGTCCTTGTTCAATAATGCCATCGCGGCAGCGGCACTTAGAGAGATTGCGCGCACTGGGGCTAGATACACGTGGACGAACAAACAACGGGAGCCAGTGCGTTGTGTACTTGACCGTGTTTTTTGTTCAAGTGACTGGGAGGTTTTGTTTCCCCTCTGTACCTTAGTGGCTGAGACGCGCACCGGATCAGACCACGTCCCGCTGATCCTTTCCTCAGGGGAGGAAAGTGTGCGTCGTAGTCATAGATTCTTTTTCGAGACAGCGTGGTTCGAACACGAAGGCTTCTGCCAATTGGTCACGCATCGCTGGTCCTTGATTGGTAATTAGGTTGGTCCCCATCATGGACCAGTTGAGTTTTGGTACTCTGCGGCTGCTGCCTTGCGGGCTTTCCTCAGGGGATGGGGAGCCAATCATGGCAGTGATTCTAAACGGGCCAGGGAGCGCATAGTGGGTGAAACCTCTCTCCTTGACGCGCAAGCGGATGTGAGATCCTTCTCTGGGGACGAATGGGAGTATAGATACTCCTTAGTGAACCAAGTCTTGGCAATTCTCAGGGAGGAGGAGGAGTATTGGCGCCGTAGGGGCGGCATCAAGTGGGTCGTGAAAGGCGACGCCAACACGGGATATTTCCACGCATACACTAATGGGCGTAAGCGCAAAAGCACGATTCTTAGGCTGCAGTCCGAGGGTGGGACTTTGGTCACCCAAAACGAAATAGTTACACACATTTTTGACTACTTCGTAGAGTTGTTGGGTACAGCCGAAACCAAGAGCTTAAGTCTCAGGGAAGACTTATGGGGTTGGCAAGACCGTGTCTCGCAGCAGGAAAACGACGCCTTGATGGTGTCCTTTTCGCCCCAAGAGCTCGACCGTGCGCTAGCTGGTATGAAGAACGACACGGCTCCGGGCCCGGATGGATGGCCGGTGGAGTTCTTCAAACGGTTCTGGCTGACGCTTAGGGACTTGTTTCTAGCGATTCTCAATGGTTTTGCCTTGGGTACGGTAGACCTGGCGCGCCTCAACTATGGGGCTATCTGCTTGATCCCCAAGGTTAAAGGGGCAGAATCTATTAAGCAGTTTCGGCCGATCACGCTCATAAACGTTCCTTTCAAAATATGTGCCAAAGCTTATGCCTCTAAATTAGCGCCGGTCGCTCAACGTGTCATTAGCAAAAGCCAGACTGCTTTCCTTAAAGGCAGGAACATTCTGGAAGGGCCAATTGCACTCACGGAGATAATCCATGAGTTGAAACGTATGCGGGGACAGGGTGTCATTCTCAAACTTGATTTTGAGAAAGCGTACAATCGAGTAAATTGGGAGTTTATTCGGGAGGTCCTCCTCAAAAAGGGTTTTGAGGCAGGGTTTGTTCACCGGATCATGCATCTGATCTCGAGTGGCAACACCTCGATTATTGTCAATGGCGACATGGGCAAGTTCTTTCGCAATCGGAAAGGACTTAGACAAGGCGACCCCGTCTCCCCCCTAGTATTTAATTTCGTGGCGGACGCTTTGGCTGCCCTGCTGTCCAAGGCCAGGGAGGCTGGACACATCAAGGGGCTCGTCCCACACCTCATTCCAGGTGGGGTGACACACCTCCAATACGCAGACGACACTTTGCTGCTGTTTAATCCGGACGTTGATAGTATTGCCTCGATAAAGCTCTTACTTCTAGCTTTTGAGCTCCTTTCCGGACTCAAGATTAACTTTCATAAGAGTGAGGTCATCACCATGGGGATTGATGGCCAACAAAGCGCACGTGTTGCAAACCTGCTTAATTGTAAGCTGGGGAGCTTTCCAATTAAGTGTCTTGGGCTCCCTATTTCGCACTGCAAATTATCGATTTTTGAGTGGGAGGCCCTATACGGGAAAGTGGCCAACAGGGTGAGCCCGTGGCGCGGGAGATTCATGTCTTCTGCCGCAAGGCTAATTCTGACGAATTCGAGTCTCTCTTCCCTTCCCCTTTTCACAATGGGGATGTTCTTACTAGCTAACGGCGTTCACGCCAGGTTCTTTTGGGAAGGAACTGGAATCAAGAGGAAGTACCACCTAGTCAAATGGGCGGCAGTTTGTAGGCCAAAAAAATTCGGTGGATTGGGAATTCTCAACTCCAAACTGATGAATGTGGCCCTCCTAGCCAAATGGTGGTGGCGGCTGGCCCAAGGTGAGTCGGGGTTCTGGGCGAGCCTGCTAAGAGCCAAGTATTTCCCGAACGGGAACCCGTTCACTGCCTCGGCCAATGGCTCCGTGTTTTGGAGAGGGCTCCAAGCGGTACGTCCAGCTTTTGACATTGGGGCTAAATTTCTGATCAACAATGGCCAATCAACCCGGTTTTGGCTTGATCACTGGCTTGGTGCATCCCCCCTTTGGCAAAGTCACCCCAACTTATACCGGTTAGCCACTGACACTAACATCTTAGTTGGGGAGGCAATCAGGACTGCCCCTCCGGCGATTCACTTTATGCGCCCCCTTACGACCGAAGAGAGTGCGTCTTGGAACGGGCTGATTCAGCAGATCGGTGTCAACCGCCTAGGCACGACGGGTGACACAGTTGATTGGATCCTGACCGCTTCGAGAAAATTTTCTGTCAAGTCCCTGTATAACAAGCTCACTGAAGGGCCAGCGCTTGATATAGCTAAGGGGTTATGGAAGGCAGGCCTGCCTCTGAAGATTAAAATCAAATGCTTCGGAACCGGCTACCTACGTCGGATAACGTGGCCAAACGCAATGGCCTGGCTGATGGCACATGCTCGCTGTGCGGTCTTGTTGAAGATGCGAACCATGTTTTTTTTAGGTGCCATTTGGCCAGATTCGCTTGGAGTGCGGTGCGGGAGGCCTTCCACTCGGAATGGAACCCTGCATCGGGGCACCAGCTTGTCTCCACCCTTAAGTCCACAAAAGGGACCACTAGTTGGATAGCTTGGCGTTGCGTAGGGGCGCTGCTTTGGGCTATTTGGACGACTCGTAACAAGTTTACGATCGAGAAAAAATTTCCTCGTCACCCCGCAGACGTTATCTTCAAATGTCACTTATTTCTGCAGATGTGGACACCTCTGGGGAAGGAGCGCGATGCTGAGCGCATGTCCGATGCCATGGCGCGCATCAAGGCGATTCAGGTGCAGGCAGGACAGGCGCCGGCAAGCTGACGAGGCTTTTGGAGGGACTTTGCGGCATGTTTGTTGTCCCGGTCGTTGCGCTGATCTATGTGGATGTATGTTTTATTTGTCGTAACGAACCTTATGTCCTTCGCCGTACTGATCACGGATCGATGATACTTTCTTTATCTCTTAGCTTGTAACCAGTTGAACTTGTGGCCTTTGGGCTTTATTAATTTAAAGCCGGACGCTTTTAGCGTCTACGTTCCCAAAAAAAAAGCATATGCCTCTTCATTGGGTCCATGAGGCAATGCTACATCTATGGAGGGTTTAAAGGAACTTTATGGGCCGGGTTGAGGTGCCTTGTTTTGATTTGTAATTAGGATGAAGCGGGGCCCACACTA